ATCACGCATCCACCACCCGGTTATCCATAACAGGGGACATGACAAGACAAATTCCTCCTTGAGCATGCAGCTCCCACGCTGACCCAGACAGAGGCACTACTTGCTGAACCATCCAGGTGAACCATGCAAGCTCACACCCGTGTCCAAAGCCAGCCTCAATTGCTTCCTGGTGCTGCATTCAGAGCAACTGGAGAGGCAGAATTGAATCAAGACTGCTATATTGCATCTTCGAGGATATTTACTTGTGAAACAGGACTCAAATGAACAACCTTTTCATTTTATGTGAGTTCTCCTGAGCAGGGAAAACCGCTTTGAGCTTGAAAGGAGGAACACTCACGTGGCCTTGAGCATCACTCGGTAATCTATCAACAGATCTTCTAGTTCAATTATGTGTTATTAAAAATATAACCCCCCTCAGCCATTCCCTATTGTTAAAAAAGAACAAATGCAGCCAATTACATCCCATTATCGCCATTTCACCAACAGAGCAGTTAATCGGTGACACCATGAGTCTAACTTCATAAAACACAGGTGTCACAAACCTGTCTGTGTCCTAGGCACTATGAGTCATTACTTTTATAACATGTCCCAGATTTTTGTTGTCTTCATTTTCCTGTGTCCCTCTTGACACTCTGAAATAAGTCCTTAGTCCCCTTCACTCTATTTACATGATTCTTGCAAAATTAAACCACTGTTTTTGAAAGATATGGCCTGTAGTCTGATTTCCTTTAAAATATTTTTTCTCTATTCTGTGCATTTTTTTTTTTTTTTAATATAGGGCTTCTATATACCCTTATTCTAGTAAAAGTACATTAGTATGTTTCCCTGGACAAAACACCTGAAAATATTATATAAGGTTCTTCAATACAAAAAGAGATGGTACTCAATCCCATATCAGGGCAAATTTGTACTTCTGCATTATAGCATAAAGCTATCCTAAAATGAGCTTATCCCAATTTTGGGTGATTCTTCATGCATACCAGGTTGCATAGTGTCTGCCTTCTTCCTACTACTGGTGAAGAGGGCATGATAAAAATAAAAGCAGTTAGCTAGCACAGAGCACTCCAGACTCTAGCCATCACCGGCTGCCCAGTACAGTAGCATAGCCTGGGGGCTTCATATTTATTCTTGGAAGACTTCACCTTGGTGTAACCCACACAAATGTTTCCTCATCAAATACAAGGACACATAGGCCATACAAATGTTTCTCATCAAATACAAGGATAGATAGAATGCTATTCTGTTCGTTAAACCATTAACAATGATTAGTAAGGAACTTATAAAAAGGAGCTATTGTCCTTGAAGAAGAGAAACATCCTGAAACATAGAAGTTCGTTAAAATTGTTTACCATAAATCAGATTAATTAGATATTAGAGTGTCCTTTGTAGGAACTATTCTAATAGTAAAAATCACACCCACCGCTTCAAAGATCCCTGCCTGAGTAAAGACCCTCACCCTTTGAGCTTGTGCAGAAAAATTAAAACCCACTATAACTTTAAATGAAGACGAGGCACGTTACTAACCAATGAGGCATAGAAGTGATAAGCAACTAATAGTCATTATAGTAAACATGTAATCCTGTAGTCTGAAGTGTATAAATACCTTGAAGTTCTTTTGTGTGGTGTGCTAGCTTTGTGGCATAACCCCCTAGCACTCATCTTTGCACAAATATAGAATAAACTGATATCTCGGATCTGTGTGCAAGACTGGCTTCTGCACACCAGGTAACAAACCCTGTTTGAGGCACAACAATGGGGCGAGGTAAAGGAGTTCAATTACAGCACCAGCATACCTTTGCAGTCACCTTCTTCACCAGCTCCCATCACTCTGGGCTAACAGATGAGGGATAAGCCCATGATTTTATAATTATCTGACCCATAAATTTACATGTATAACTGCAACTATATTAATGGACAACCATGTTCATGTGTTGAGGGCAGCTTCTGTGGAAGCTGAAGATGACAGTGTTCAAATGATGTCATCTGTTTTCAAATGAAGTCAGCTGGCCAATGTCACTGCATACAAGGATGTAATGGAAATCTCAGAGGTTTCTCAGAACATCAACCACCTATCTTCATATTTCATTTGGGCTGCTGGAGCCAAATTCATTGCTGGGTTACCTTGGGTTGCCTTCCATATTCAGCACACAAGGAATGGGAAAGTGTGGCAGAATACATTATTCCCGATTCTACCTGAGTCTCAGACTGGACTGTGTGCCACACAGCCATAACTAATAGAGAAAACACACAGTGTCAGGCTGCTGTAGAGCCTTTCACACACGGCCTTGTATTGCCACCTTCAGACCAAACCAAGACATGCCCTGTCACTCTCTCTAGTATTAAGCAGCCCATCGCACCTTTAGCGGCACTCCAGCCCCAGCCAGAAGCACTCAGCCCCACAGTGAAGGTGAATCCCAACCACAGCTCAACTTCAGACCCAGACTGAACTTTGCTTCCCTACAGTAACGGCAAAGGAAAGCAGAAGGCCACTTGCGATGCTAGGTCATTAAAAGACGTGTCCAAATTTGCAAAGTCCTAAATCAGGTTATTTTATTTTGGAAGGAAGAGCTGTCATGGAATACCCCATCCTGAGTCTGGCTCTGTGGAGATCTTGTGAGTCCTCTTCCACTCCTAAGGTGTCAGGCACTAATATTATGGTACACTGGTTAGTGCAAACTAGTGAAAAATGAGATTAGCATTTTTAGAGGAACCTTAACATGACCTTTTGAGCAGCAATTTTACAACCACAATTATAGACATAATAATTGTGGTGAAACTAATTTGAAGAACAAATGATAGCATTTAAATGCATGATCTACAGATACAATTTGACATAATATACGTTTTTATATGAGCCAGAAGTTTCTAGCAGATGTAAACAACAGAAACCATAAATTAGAGGACAAATTAAACACCTTTTGGTTTTTATCACCCTCATACTCAAGATGAACACTGATGAGGTCAATTCTAGCTATTTATATTTTTGATAAAAAAATAATTATTTTATTAGCATATAGGACCCTATATTCTCGAATTATTGAGGTATCAGCTATATATTTTCTAACCTAGTGCAATCTTTATTAATTATTTCTGAATTTTACTCTGTTCTAAATTCCTCTTCAAAGCAGAAATACTGAAACACCAAATCCTATTAATCTCTCATGCTCTACTGTCTTTGCTCTACCATTTATTCAACCTCCAGCCTCCAATTCAGTATTACTAACATCTTTTATAGAAAGCTTTATAGTTTTAATGTATTTGATTGGCATATGCATGTAAACTAACTGGGATTGGTTGGAGGCAGAGGACCATGGCATTAGCACAATGACGTATTTATCAAATATAACCTCCATATAGTCAAGCTCATCTCGCAAGATACACGTAACAAAAAATAAGATCTGACAAGACTAATTTGACTCTTAGCATAAAGTACTGTTTATACAGTGCAAGACGGCTAAACGTCCATGCTCTCTTATTGCTGTAACATGATATATTTTTAGTAATCCAGTAAAATCTGTCTACTTCTGTGTTAACCAGTCTCTGGGGATTTTTTGTTAACACTTTTGGTTTGGTTTGTTGGGGGTTTTTAGAGCAAAAATAACCAACAGCCTATCACGGGTTCAGTGACGTTAGACCAGATTTCTTTAAGGCCCAACCTAAGCCTCAAAACGTACTGTTTTGGTGGACAGCTTTCAGCCACAAAGCTCTCGTTTGCGACATACTGTGATCCGTGCAGCTCATGGGAAGACCCCTCAGCTTCCTCCAGTGTTCTGGAGAGCCGATCCTCCAGAGAAATGATGATGTGTGACATTTTAGACCTCAATATCCTCTGTGCATCAGGGTTATGGTAACTTTGGGAACCTGTGTACATAACCTCTAACTACTGCTACTAGTATGAACTTATTAAGTAGTTGGTTCTTTGAAAACTGTAGCAAGTTCCTTTGTCTATATGTATCCACAGCATCAAGAATAATCAGCAGATTCTCTGAGGGGTTCTTAGTGCTGTCTCAACACGTATTTTTTCACTGATTAGAGACAGGAATTTAAAAGCTGACCTTTGACCAGCAAAAGACTCAGTAAGGAGGTGGCTGGGACGCGCAGTGTCTCCTAGAGCTTGGGACGTGATGGAGAAGTGGAAAGAATGGGAAGTTGTGAGCAACAAGATTAAAAAGCCAGAAATAACAGAAGAGGAATTTTTAAAGGGACTGGCAGAAAGGAGAACATGGAGGACACTCAGGAAGCCCTGTCTGGGGAGGGAAAAGGTGGACAGGCTGTTGTGGTGGAGTCTTAGTGCCCTCCAACTTTCCTTGGCGTTTATCCTGGAGGTATGAAAAGCAATGGTGAAGTGTAGAGCACTGAAAAAAAAAAAAAAAAATCCCTGTTAGCTTATATATACCATATCCCTCAGAGAGATTTGCAGCAAAAAGGCTCAAATGCTTTGGCTGAAATGCTGGCTGTTGTGGGGCAAGGCAACGGATGGTATTTCAAAAAATCTGGGGTAGATATTTTAGGACTACAGCTGGACAGCAGGATACAGTTTTCAGGGGGAACTGTCACAGGGGGGTTCTGCACCAGAGAAAAAAATGCTTGAAATCGCTGAGAAATTTGAAAAACAGTATGAAAAAGCTGGAATCGGCTCAGATTTGCGACAAATAGAATGTACCAGAAGGGACTCAGGGACTATTCCTCCCTAGGGGCAGCCAGACAGGAGCGCTCCGCTCCCCGCCGCAGCCTGCCCAGCTGCTACATTTTCCAGGAGGAGCGGAGGGGAACTTCCAAATCATACGAACACCATCCGCTTCCAAACGCAGGCACCGCAACAGCACTGAGCGCGCCCCGAAGAGGGAGATGTTTTTTGTGAACACGGACGCGACCCGTAGGGCCGCCCCTGCCCCTCACGGGGAAGTGGGGGGGGTGTCAGGCAGGCGGCGCTCGCGGCCCCCCCCCCCCCCCCCACATACATACACTCTCTCTCTTCCTGCCGCCGCCGCCGCCGCCGCCGGGCGAGGCGGGCTGGGCGCGCGTGCGCAGCCGCGGCAGTTGCTGGCGGCAGTGGCAGTTGCTGGCGGCAGTGGCAGTTGCTGGCGGCAGTGGCAGTTGCTGGCGGCAGTGGCAGTTGCTGGCGGCAGTGGCAGTTGCTGGCGGCAGTTGCTGGCGGCGCTGAGGCGGGCCGGGGCGCTGGAGGCTCCGATGGATTCTCCGCTTCCCTCCCAGCCTGCCCGCCCGGCTTCGCCGGGTAGCACCGACCCCGGGCAGGAGAGGCGGCAGGAGAGGCGGGGGCGGCGGCGGGGGCGGCGGCAGCGGCGGCGGCGGCAGGGGTATAATGTTGTGCGTGCGCGCTTCACAGCTCCCGAAATACCGCAGACTGCCATGTCCGAGACCTACGGTAGGAACTGGGGGCGGGCGGGGTGGGGGGACCCTCCTCTTCCTCCTCCCCTCCTGGGGAGCGGGCCCGGGGCCGAGCAGTCGCCTCTTGAGGGGTGGGGCGGCGGGCGGTCCGCTGTGGAGGAAGGCGGCGGCGGCGGCGTGAGGAAGATTTTGTCATCTAGTCCCTTCTTTTTGATGTAACAGCTACTAGAGAATAGCGGCTTGTGTACTTGGTCTTGTGACAAAAATGTGAGTGCATACTAAAATCTAGCTTTTTTTTTTTTTCCGTCTTGCAATATTCAGATTTCCTGTTTAAGTTTTTGGTCATAGGAAACGCGGGAACTGGAAAAACCTGTTTGCTACACCAATTTATTGAAAAGGAGTGTAAGTATATGAGCACAGTGAGATTTCTTCATTGCTTTGTGCTACAGATGAAGGCTCTGCCTACATGAACATCTATTCTTTGTATGGAAGTTCCTGTAATTCTCCTACTTGTCTATATGAGGATTTTGACTGAGAATTATGTTCAGAACCATGCTATAAATCTTTATTGCTCACTGTGTTTGCCTCTAAGCACAAGCATGATATTGAGCAGTATTCTCCATTGCTCTCAAATATAGCAGGATATTGATGAAAATAGACTATTTTTTTGTGAGAATTACATCTTGCAGCTACAAGCTTCCCTAGACATACAGTAGAGACTCGGATCTTTTAGAAAAAAATACTGAGCAGATGAAAGAAAAGTTGAATTGTTTGAGTAGATTTAGAAACCCTGTAGTCTTTCAACATAGACAATCCATGTTCTTTGTTAAGGACTGTGTTCTATAATAAACACTGGTAGAGACTCCATTGTAGATATTATTTAGAGATTAATAGATGATATAAAAGAAAATTTCCTATTGGGTGGTGCATTTAGCATCATGATTAAACAAAAATAATATGCATTTAGAAACCTTTGTAAAACTAAGATAACTACTATTTTTCTCAACCAAATGGTAATTTGCGTTATCTCCTAAGGATAATAGTGTGTAATCACTGAGGAACATGGCATGATCCTGTGATTGAACTTGAACTGTGGCCTTGCTTCCCGTATGGGCAGTTGTATATTGCTGAGAATCTGTGATATCAACAGTGTACATAGAGCAAATATCTTAACTTCAACCTTTAAAGAAGAAGTAGCTCTTGCTTATTTATGGGCAGGACTGTGTCTTTTTGTGTTCTGCTTTTCTGTGAATTTTAATTTTAAATTGCATCAAAGTATTAGAAAACACAGTTGGGAAAAAAAGTGTACAAAAGTTATCTCGCCATTTATTAATGTGAACAGGGAATGATTAGATTAAGGCAGGCCTTTCTAGCAGTAATTTTGAATTGAATAACCTGTTCAAAAATTGTAAGAATGTTTATTTCTGCACAGTGGCAATAGACTTCTGAGTGTCACTGAATTTGATGGTTCAGGAAGTAGTTTGTAATTTGAACACTGATGTGTTTTGATTATACCTAAATTGGTTTATGTAAAAAATAATTATTCACTCTATTTTCTAAATAAGTCTGGGGTTTTTTTCTTTTTTTTGTAGTCAAAGACGTCTCAAATGTTACTATAGGAGTGGAATTTGGTTCAAAGATCATAAATGTTGGTGGTAAATATGTAAAATTGCAGATATGGGATACAGCAGGACAAGAAAGATTCAGGTACTGTTTTCAGTCATTTTACTGTTTGTTATTAAATTGTTGGTGTGGGTGTTGGGTATTATTTATCTCTGCTTGTAAATTTCTTGGTCAGCAGAAGTGTTTGTCTGCCTTCATGTTATTAACTGGGCCAGATCTTCCGACTTGGACATAACAACATAGATCCATTGATTCCAGTAAAGCAGTGCTGCCTTGCAGGACCTGAGGTTCTGCCCTTTCATTAGGTATTTTCTGTGATAGTTAATGTACACGAGTAGAATATGTATGTGGTTAAAATTTTGTTCACTAGGCAAACTCAGAATAGTTTTTTAACTAACCACGTGTGCTTAACTTTGTCTTTAGAAGATCTTCTGTTGATTGGAATAAGTTGTAAATTGCTCAATCTGCATGAGAACAATTTCATAGTATTTTATTAGAGGGAAAGAAATCAGTTGTCAGGTTCACTTGGCTAAATACGCTTCCAGAAAGACTGAAATCTCTTAAGTTTCTTAAGGAAAAAGCAATGCACTTGTCAGATTAAAACCACTTTTAATGTTGTCTTTTAATTGTGTCATATCAGAGGCATAGGTGAAACTCAGTAAAGATCTCATGTATTCCTGAGTACATTCACCATCACACGGGACATCAGTTTTTCATATCTTTGGGAGGTGGGGTTTGTGTGGGAAGTTTCTCTGGTTTTAGAGGCAGGGACAGTGGTTAACAAAGGTGAGTGTGGTGGTAGAACCTGAGTAATAGGCAGCAATCCAAGTAATCTGTAGATTTGCCTAGTCACAGATGTATCCAAAGGACTTGTCTAATAGAAGAGTAGGCAAAGCTGGGCAGTGCTGTGTAGTCTCTATTAATGAGATCTCTTCAGTGTGTTGGCCAGATATCCTGGGATTCTGAGGAGTTTGGAAATTGTACTTTCAGAGACTTGTGCAAATTCTGCTCTTTCAAGTTCAGAGTATTCACAGATTTGCAGGTTGTTCTTGTTTTTGGTTTTGTTTTTGTTTTTTTTTCTTCATATTGATTTTTATAATCTATCTAATTCTTTTGTTCTTAAGGCTTGTCACACCTCTGTGTGCTGATCAGGTTTCTTCTTCTCCCTCTACCTTTTGAAGGATGCTTTGCTTTGCTTTCATTGCCTCCTTCTCTTCAACTTAAGGAGTGTTAAATTGTTCAATTAAAACAACTTTGCTCAATCTTTCCTCAATGCTGAGAGTTCAAACATAAGTTAATTATGCTTTTTTTGTGCCAGAGATACCACCATCAGCTTCTAGTTCTATATCAGGCCATACAGTATGATGCTGTGTAGCTTCAGCAGCACACAGGTCATAATGGACTTTGAGAATCCTTGGACAGCTATATTTAGTGAAAGTGCTTTGTCAAAAGTCTAGTTGTAAATAGTCTGCTGCTGCACAGCTGATAATGTCTAAAATATAAATTTTATTTTAAATACGTAAAGTAGAATTCTGTCTCATAACAGAGATTGCATTATATTAGCCATTATATTGAAACAATGATGATGATACAGAAATGTGCATCTGTAATTTTATTTCAGTTCTGTAACAAAAAATTACTATAGAGGAGCTGCAGGTGCTTTGCTTGTCTATGATATAACCAGGTAAGAAAGCTAGCAACTCTTTTCCTTATAGACAGTTGGGGTTTTTTGCTTATAGACAATCAGATACAATTAATGCATAATGATTCCTCCCCAAGTACCTAATCCTCTAATGGAGAATGGGCAGGAAGAAAGGAAAATAAGTGTAAAAAGTACTTCTGGTTTTGTGCATATTTAAGTTTTAGAACTTGCTTACATGAGATACTGTGAGTGTCATAAATGTAAACAGTCTCAAAAGGGTTAGACACAAGGGAATTGGCCTACCAGTAGCTGTTTTGATTGTGGTGGGCTACATGCAACCACTGGCCCAGGAAGCCGTGCAATAGCAACTAAAAGCAGACTTAGCCACTTTTAATCAAGGTGGTTCACCCCTATTTGTGGAAACTATGTATTAGTATGCTGATATAACAGGTCATCTTCTGGAGAAGCTAGCTCTACCTACACATTCCATAACTGTAGCCCAAAATTCTGTTCATCTCTGCATCTTTTAACATTTGAGTATTATAGGCAGCCAAGAGAATACCTTACCGTACACATTTCCACACTTTTCCTGGCCGCCACTGACTGATAATTGTCAGATAAGTTTTATGTTGGTTAATGATGTTTGCTAGATTTGTTGCCTTTTTTTTTTTGTCCTGAGTGGACTGTTCTCCTCTGAGCAGTCTTGAAAGTCTTTTTTGGTCTTGGCACAAGTGTAGAATTGAGTGCCTGAACTTTCACAGAAGTAGTAAGTTCTTAAAATCTTACCTGAACTCAAGTATCAGTTGAATTCCATGTTAAACAATAACTCATTGTGTCATTTCAAAATTTCATGTATAAAAGGCTGAAACTAGTGCTTAGAATTTTAGCTTTTCACATTAACAAGGTATTTTATAATTGTGTGTATTTGTATATTGTGGTTGATTTAATTTTGCTTTTTAAAAACTTTTCAATAGTTTCATGAAAGAACTCGATACTCTTCCCAGTTCATAGCTGGTATATTGAGATGTATAGGTGACTTGCCTGGCTAGCAGGAATTTGTTGTGTGTTACAAATACAGATTTGCCTTCTGGGTTTTAGTTCAATGATCTGTTCACAAGAAATCAGTATAGTCTAATGAAGGATGTCATTTTCTACATAGCCGGGAAACCTACAATGCGCTTACGAATTGGTTGACGGATGCTAGAACGTTAGCAAGTCAAAATATTGTGATAATACTATGTGGAAACAAAAAGGATCTTGATGCAGATCGTGAAGTTACTTTTTTAGAAGCGTCCCAGTTTGCACAAGAAAATGGTAAGTAGTACAAAATCTTCATGTAGCATTCAAGGATGCTTAATACTTAAAACAATTTATTTTTTTGTGCAGTTAGGGAGTACTTTGCCCAGTGTACCTTAAAATATCTACAGAAGAGAGAGTTCTGTCAGTACATGGGCCATAGAGAGAGGACAGTGCCTGCAGTGAAAACTGCATGTACTATTTAAGTCGTCTTACCAGTGATTCTTCCAGTCACAGCTGCTACTCAAAGAATAGCTGCTATGAGGAGATATGTTCCCAAAGGAATGTAATACAACTTCAGGTCTTGCCTTACCTCCAAAGGGCTGAGAAGGAAATGGAGAGCATGATTTCCTGTTTTTTAGCATCTTACAGATTCTATAGATCATAGACAAGGTTGGATGGGGTGCGCCGCAGATGGAAGCAATGAGTTTTACTCATAGGAAACAGAGTTTAGTGTGTGGCATGGATCCCAGAGGACCTTTACCTGGTCTGTAGTGTTCAGAATTTCCAGTGTGAGGACACATTTCTGTGGCAGCTAAAGCCAGTCTCAGTCTGAGCTTCTGTGCTGCAGTCCTGCCATCAGTAAAATCTGGGTTTTTTTTTTATAAATCAATTGCTAGTAGTGTTTTATACCAACTGTGGCTACTGGCTGTCCTTTTGCATATAACTTTCTACTAATGTGAAACCATATCAAGTTCTTTGGTTTCATGTGCTATTTCGTATGCACAGCCCAGGTTATTATCTTTGGATTCCAACTTCTTAGAATTAATATATAAATTTCAGAGGAAGTTTTTTGTGATTTTTCCTGTCAAAAGCTACTTTTCTAGACCATACTATTTGACAATAGTTCTCCTTAAGAAAATTTAAATCTATTGTTCCCAGCTGTCATGCTTTGAATTACTATATCAGATATTCCTGACTTGTTTTGAGATTTTTTTTCTGGTCTCAAATGCAGAGCTGATGTTCTTGGAAACAAGTGCACTAACGGGGGAAAATGTTGAAGAGGCCTTTGTACAGTGTGCAAGAGAAATCCTCTATAAAATTGAATTAGGTAAACTGAGATTTATATTCTTTTAATGTGTTTTTTTCCCCTGAAAATTAAGAGTACATGTGTAACTATCATCATTCAAAGTTCCGTAATAAAATTACCCCAGAGAATCAGAATTTCATCGTGCTAAAATAACCCATTTAGTTTATAGCTGCTTCCCATATGTTTTAATAGGAAAGGACATCCAAGTCAGATCTGTGTATCTAAAAGGGGTGGTGGTGTGAATTATGGATGTTTTTACATGGTGTTTACCTTAAGTATCAGCTCTGAGTGTAGGCTGTGCATTCTGTGGGTTGCTATGTCCCTACAAACATCAAGCCTGACATCAGTTTTAGCAATGCAGACTAAAAACCTAGTATTCAGGGCAGACGTAACTTTTCTGCTTCTCATGCAGCAGGAAATACAGTCAAGAGAATTTAAACAGTAATACTGAAAATTTCAGGGATGTTTCCTAGCAACTGTGTTTCTCAGAAATGACCTTCCTGCCTCTTGGTTGAAACCATTTTTACTTTTGCAGATTTAGAAATATACCAGAAGCTTCTCAGTACAAGTGGGCAGATTTCTATCAGAGACAGGCTCCTAAGTGTTAGGTGGCATTACAGCTAATTTGCATTCCAGTTTTCCTCTCTTACATTCTAGCTGTTCGATCTCTTCAAAGTTTTAAGTATTGGCCAGATCGAAAAGTCTGTTCCAGACACTTATTTTTCAATGCCAAACACAAATTTTTAGATGAAAAAATGTTTTCTCATGTTTTCTTTGTGCCGACACACATGCATTGAATCATGGAAAAGTTGAGACTGGAAAGAGCCTATGGAGGTCTCTAGTCCAGCCTCCTGTTTAAAGCATGTTCAGGTTCAAAAGGAGAGCAAGTTGCCCAGGGCTTGTCGAGGCACATCCTGAGGTGTTCCAGGAGCGGAGATTCCACAGCCCCTCTGGACACTGTGTCCCAGTGCTAACCCATAGCTGCTATCTACCTAGTTGCTCCCCAGCTTGCACCAGTGCTTGGGCTTGTTCCATTGCTGGTGCAGAGCTCTGCATGTGTAGTTGAGGAATTTCATGAGGTTCCTGCTGGCCTGTTCCTCTAGCTTGGCCAGTGATGCTTTTCTGAAAGGAAGCCCTACCCTTGAGCTATCAACTGGACCCCTCAAGTGGTGTCAACTGCAATGAATCTGAAGAAGTGAACTAAATTATTCAGAGGGATTCTTTGGTTTGTTTCTGTTCTTTCTTTTTTTTTTTTTTTAGACTAAATGTTTCTAATCTTAGACAGTCCACGATACAGCCATAAGAACGTTTTTCTGAAGGCACAGAATATGGAGTAGGCAGAAACTGATACCAAAAGTAGGGAAGCTTGAGATAATTTCCTCTGGGGGCAGTGCTTTATGGAACCCTACTGTCAGATTGATCTATTTTTGTTTGGCTTGGTGTCTACAGTACTACTTTCTTTGCATGCCAGTCTCTGAAAGCAGCAGTTTTTAACAGTGTTTGCAGAAAACATTTTGGATGTTTCATTTGTTAGAAGTAGTTAGTGCCAATACATTTCTTGTTGCAGCCTAACTTAGAGACAAACCGCTTTGTCATTATCATAGAATGCCAGGTTGGTAGGGACCTCACGGACCACTTGGTCCAATCTTTCTTGGCAAAACATGCTCTAGACAAGATGCCCCAGCACCGTGTACAGCTGAATCTTAAAGGTGTCCCATGTTTGGGAATCCACCTCTTCCCCAGGGAGATTATTCCAATTATGATTAGGGGCACATGGTTGAAATTAGAGAAGAAAATGTTACAGGTTTGCAATTGCCTAAAAGTAAACAGAACTGCAATAGATCTCTCTGTACCTAGAGCAGAATATCGTTATGCATTTTTTATCTAGTGTTGTCAGTTAGATTGGAATGTATAATTTGCATGTGATCTATCTTCTTGTGACCATTTTGTTTCTCATCAGGAGAACTGGATCCAGAAGGAATGGGTTCAGGTATTCAGTATGGAGATGATGCTTTGAGACAGCTGAGATCACTACATAGAGCACAAGCACAAAGTGCTCAACAATGTGGGTGTTAAACAAAACACAAAATCCCAAATACTTTAGACACAGAAGGTAAGGTTACAAAAATCTCAGGTTGTTGGGTAAATTACCATATTTCATAAATGTGCTGTGTCAAGTGCTTGGCTTTTTCACAGTTAGCCTGTAAAGTAACATAGAATCTAGTGAAATAATGCACAGTAGAATGGATTATTGTTTTATACTTTGATTTTTCTTCTGCCACCTGCCCACTAAAGCAAGACTAGTGCTCTTACTGAACTATTTCTAGATCTTTGCTTACTCAGAGTAACGCTGTGGAAAACACTTTAGAATTCTGTATTCCTGGAATGCATTATAGCCCTAATAGTTATCTAATGCACTATAGAGAAGGTGAATTACTTCTGTTGTATTGTGGACAAATATTACTAGAATTGAGAATTCACAAAATATATGGTGCAATATCTTGTCCAAAGCTATTATATAGTCTTTTCTGAAAATACCAAGTTTAAAGACTGAGACTTGAAATTAAAGGTAATACTGGATTTCAAACTTCAACTGTTTACTTTTTTTCCTACATAAAAGCAGCTTAACGTTGTTCTGATTCCTGTCTGCTATGAGCAGAAATGTAAACAAGAGAATAGTAGTATTTGTTGTTTAAGCAGACCTAAAGTAGCTCTTCTAGGGCTGTTGCAGCCCATCGAACGATGCAGTCTCCTAAAAGTCTTCCAAAGACACTCTTCAGAGCAAGTGAGGAACAGATCTTTCCCTCTAGTAAAGTGGTAAGGGAAGAGACATAAGTCACGTGACCTAATCTGAAGAACAGCTTGGTGGTTAGTCTTTCTCAAACAGTTGTCCTTAAGACACCTCTCCATGGATTTTACTTAACTCTTTGTAGTATGTAAGTGGTTCATGGGGACAGCCCTTTCCCCCTGTGTAGTTAATTATTTTGTTATAATTAATCCTTATTTCTCTATTATGAGGACGGTGATATCAAATTAAACAAGTACTGCAGGCATAGTTACTGCATCACTTTTACTGTATTCATTTTTTTATCAATTTGAGCAGAAGCTTTACAGGATGTTAAATAAGGCAGCATACAAGTCTGCATTCTCATATATTGTTCTGTATCTGTATAGCTCCCAGTTAAAGCTCAGAATTTTAAATAATGGATAGGAATCCTTGAACTGCTTTCCTCCCTTACTTTCATCCTATAAAATATCATCCTTCAATAAGAGACTGCTGGAAAGGGCATTAATTTAGTTCGGCTTTGGTACAGCGCTACAGGAGTGAATATCTACTGATCTGATTTCAGGAACTGAGTTTTCACATTGATCAGATGTAGATAATTGATGGAGTTCTTGTGTATTTTACAGCTGTCCTTACAAATGGTGTTTGAAGAAATGGAAAAGCTTGAAGGCTATGCAGTTTTTAAAAATGTCTTTCCACTATCTACAAACAGAGCAAACCACTGCTGTCAGAAAGGTGGCCCGTGTGGTGTGGGGCAGGAGTGTCCACATGACACACAAGCCTGCAAAGTGAACTTGATGATTTGGTGGACAATGTTAAGACTCATACCTGTATGTAAACATTTTCCATTACCTGTTTTTGTTCTTTCGCCTCTAGTTTAAAGCATTGCTATATACTGTAAATAATGTAACAGTAAATTTACAAAGCATGGTATACTTACGTATGCTGATAGAATGTTGCACTACAAGCAGTTTAATATTTTATTTTTTTATCATATAAACAAATTTAACGGAGGTAGGCTTTGTCATGTTTGTTTGCTGCACAATAGTTTATGACCTGAATTATAAAACCACTGGCACTGTCAGTGAAGGGTGGTTGGTTTATTTTTTTCCTACTTAGTTTGCCACATTCTAACAAGCTGTTGACATGACTGATTCTCAACATATGGTTAGGACCCATACTTACGTTTATTAATATGTCAAGTTGAAAAGGTAATTTTTATTGATGTTCACATATCCTGTTTTATCACAGTTCTTAAATAGCTTTTGAAGTTCTTTTATTAAACTTTATTAAGTCTGTCAAATGGCTGTTGACTTTTTTTTTTTTCCCCTTGGTCCTGATGTTTTGTGTAGCACTGGCATCATGAAGGTAGATTGTATATGTGAACAGAACTGTGCATTTTTGCGTATGTTGTAATTCTAGGGCAGGGGCACGGGCTTATGGAGAATTACCACAGTAGGAGCTCTCCTAACCTCCTACCACACCGAGCAATCAGCTGTGGAAATATGATCTCTGTTGAAGCCTACGTAGTGAGGTACAAACTGAACCCAAAGGGTGATTCTAAAGTATCCTGAATGTATGAAATTTAAAATACTCATTTCTTTCTCTTAAAACTTTCATGAAGTACAATTAAGAACTTGAATTTTAAAATTAGACTTTAAAATTAGGAACTTAATAGGCTGTCTTGCTGGAGCTCTACCCTTGAATTTCATGGAAGTGCCCTATGTGTAATGCTGGCCACAGTGCTCCCAGGAGACTGATGTCATGGAAGGGAAAAAACAAGTGTACTACTTCAGTAGTTTGTTCTTCCTGTGAAACTCATCAAGGGAAGTTTTGGCCTTGGTACTGAGGTTTTTTTTTTTCCTGTGTTAAAACACACAATTCAGACTTTCTTTCCTGACCTCTTTTTTTATTGTGGGGAGGAGGCATGGGGCAAGAGATTAGGAAACCTGTTCTCATTCCTCAGCTGGAGACAGAAGAGGAGAAGACTTGCAGAGGGTCCAAGAGGGAGGACAGAACCGCAAGTATTGTGTATCATTTTTAGTGTGACATGACAACTGATCAGGTAAGAGACCCGTGGCTTTTCCTTTGTCAGGTAAGGAGCTGCAGCACTAAGCTCGTGTTTCTGGAAGTAGCTGAATTCAACCAGTTCAGGGGGGGCAATTTCATGTGCACTGATAGAAATCAGTAGTGACATTTTTACTTAGTTACTTGTATAACTAGAAATGGGATGTGTCCTTGAAAGTGCAAAATAATTAATTTGATCAGAATTCAGTATTGAAATTCCAAGGTTAAACATGCTTTATTATTTTCTGTATATGAGTCTTTTCTATTTAGGTGTTTCTTGTCAAATGAATGTTTAAAAACTAAACCAGAAAACTTAACTGATACTGTAATTTAGAGGGCAATTAAAGCACAAGAGCGAAGCAAGAATGCTACACAGAGGTATGCCACCTTTCATGGAGTTAGAATTGTGTTTAAAACTATTCCCTTTGTCCTGACATTTTTGGCTCAAATGGATGCTTACCTGAAAACTATATGCCTTAGATCATCTCTGAATTGAAAGGAATTAAGTTTGCTTTATACTTGAAAAGCCTAGGTTTAGTTCTAGAAAGGCTGTTGGGTCCAAAGACCTTTATGTTATGAGTCTCTCAAGTATCCTGTTATATTTAGGGTTGGATTTGTTACATAACTGATAACAATTACGCCCAAGGAGTATTCACTTGTATGGTAAGAGCGTAAGTATTTTTGAAGCAGCTTAACTGTGCATTTACAATAATGTCAAAGAACTCCAAAGAAACTTACCTGTCTTAATCCTTACTCAACTTGCTTTGGCTTCTAGTACTCAGAACATTACCAAAAGCAAGTACTCTGCAGTAGATGGTGGATGTAGTTGTTCTCCACCAGTCCAAAGGGCATATTATTAACTGGGATGTGTTGTGTTTCTGCCAGGGTTGGGGAGGCTTTTGGTTCTGAAACCCCAGATTGTGGAATGCTGTGAAAAGATGAGGTAGTGGGTAGGCTGTCCCTGCCCTTACCACAGTCATTAGACTGTGTTTCTTGGTACACAGACAAAAGTGAAAGCTGAGGATGTACTTACCAGCTGGGACATAGCACAAGTAAAGCTAAAGGTGTCCCCTGTCACTTAAAATGGTTGAAATGGTGTTGGCTGTTGGATCAAAACTTCTTTCCATAAGTATAGTGACAGTTGAAAGGAGCTGGGGGACTGTTACTTAACTCGGTTGCTTTTAAATAAAAATTTTAGGGGATTGATAGGGATTCATGTACTTCTTCCTGTCCTTTTCCCTTTATGTACAAGACTGGCCTCTTTTGTATACTCTGTTCTTATGTTCATTTTGGTCAACTGTCTGTGGTTAAGAAGCTGTAAGCACAGTTTTATTCTTTCTGTAACCATATTAAGCTGTCCCCTTCCTACCTGGAACGAAAGAATAGCGTTGCTGTAATGTGTTTGGACATGTTTTTACCATTTTTTTTTTTTTATTGTATACTCTTACTGTATACACATTAACCAGGTTAATGTGCTTGTTTTGTAGAATCACAACCTTTTATGCTGCATATCTTACATTTAAAAACAAAAAACTTTCTAAAATGGCAACTCCTGAGGAGAATATTGTTGGAAGCAATAGCTCTCACCAGTGCAAACTATATTGTTTACTTTCTTCTCTGAGGGTTTTTTATTTCTAAAAATACCATGCCAATAGCAGCCCTGGAGTAGATTTTAAGCTTTAGCATTAGAGTTCACACAGCAAACCAAATCTAGCTCACCTAAACAGTAAATAAGTGATAAATAGGTTAAATTATGTATGTTTTCAGTGTAAAGTTCTTACTTTACCAAAGCAAGATGGCTTAGAGTTTTACATGAAATAATACCAGGTACCTATATCCTAGTGTAAGAAACTATGAACTAGGGTATTGTTTATTGAAATGTATGTTAAGCTCAATGTAAAGGTTAGGCGGCAAAAGACAGAAAACCGCTTATGCAAACAGCTGCCAGACACCGCTTGTGTGAGACAAGATAACCGCAATTGCTTACACAAACCAGATAGATACCGCTTGTGCAAGCAGAAGGGGTACTGATCAAAGACAACCACGGATGTAAAAATGTATAAAAAGGAACTGTTTGAACTGATCAGTGCGGCAGTTGGCGGAGCGCAGACTCCCCTGCCGTCCAGCGCTGTCTTTGCTCATATTCTACTTGCTATAATTAATAAAATTGTAATTGGATTATGATCCATTGTGGTCTCAATTTATAACAATTTCTGGTGCCGTGACTCGGATAAGGAACGGTGGGCTTCTGTCCTCCGGGGAGGCGCCCCGCGGCAATCCGCGGCCCCGCGACTGATAGCCCACCCCATCCTTACCGACAAACCTAAATTCTAGAATAATGAGCAAAGGAGAAACCGGTAAAATCCCATAAAATTCTGTGCACGGGAGTCTGGACGAAGACGCAGGACGCGTAAGTATATTGCGAATTTGTTCGCGGGTTTACCGTTCGGGCGGGATTGGGTTTCCTGGATTATAGCGAATGAGAGGTTCGATATACTGAACCAAGCGAGTGCGGACCCTTAAGTACTGCGTTTCCCATCTCCCGCGAGGGACTGGGCCAGGAACAAGGGGAGCGAGTGAGTGTGTGTTTGTGGATAATCCAGAAGATGGGGGCGAAGGGCAGCAAGCCTTCGACTCCCATGGGAAGGGTACCCACTGTACCTAAGAATACCCCTCTGGCATATGTCTTAGACAATTGGAGATATTTCCCTGGAACACTAGGGAAAGATAAGCAGAAGATGATAGAATATTGTACTAAGATATGGGGAGGGAAGAAGATTTCTAAAAATGTCTTTTGGCCAGTCTGCGGGTCAGAAGAAGATTGGATAAAGGCAACAATTAAATCTCTGGGTTAATAAAAAAAAAAAAAAAACAAACCAAAACCCTTAACCCGGAATAAAGTCAGTATGCGGGAGTGTGGCTAAAAAGACCGGGAGCTAGACTTTACCCGCTGAATGAAATAAAAACTAAACAAAAGAAGAATAAGGAAGGGTTAGACGAAACCCTTCTAACCCCCCCTCCTTACATTTCCCCTCCTGCTCCCACAGCCCCTCCAGAGGTCCCCAGAGCGCCCACTCCCCCACCGGAGTCGGAACAAGAGTCTCCCCCTCCTCCTAGACGTGTAACTAGAAGCCAAAAAGGGGCAGCTCAGATGTACCCCCTAAGGGAAATACCCATGGGGGGACCTCAACCTGTGATCGGATATATTTCCGTACCCCTAAACTCGGCTGACCTACGAGATTTTAAAAGAACCGAGATGGGAAACTTAATTGAGGACCCACTCGGAGTGGCAGAAAGATTAAATCAATTTTTGGGACCAAACCTTTATACTTGGGATGAGATGCAATCTATCCTTGGTCAATTATTTACTACCGAGGAAAGAGATATGATTAGACGAGCAGGAATGAGACTGTGGGATGATCAACATGCCCAGGGACCTCAAGCGGATATTAAATGGCCACTCCAAAGACCTAATTGGGATAATCAGGATCCGGTGCATAGAATTCATATGCAGGACCTGAGAACTATAGTAATTCAGGGAATTAGAGAAGCAGTACCCCGTGGCCAGAATATTAATAAAGCATTTAATGAAATGCAAAAGAAAGATGAGAGCCCTACTGAGTGGCTGGAACGACTGAGGAAAGCCCTTCAGCTGTATTCTGGGATAAATCCAGACGACCCTTTAGGGCAAGCACTCCTCAAAACTCAGTTTGTGGCAAAATCATGGGAAGATATCAGAAAGAAGATTGAAAAGTTAGAAGACTGGCAGAATAGAGGGTTGGATGAATTATTGAGAGAAGCTCAGAAAGTCTATGTAAGGCGAGAGAAAGAGAACAGCAAGCGACAAGTAAAAATGATGGTAGCAGCGGTCAGAGAGGATCGTAAAGGACGAACTGGTGAACACAGATCTGCTGGAACGAAACAGGGAACGTAGTAGTAAAGAAGGAACAGAGATGTTGTTTTTACTGTGGAAAGAAGGGACATATAAAGAAGAATTGCAGAGAAAGGATCAGGGATGAGGAAATATTGAAAACGGAATAGGAGAGCCAGGGGCTCTGTATCTTAGGGGACCGGAGTCATCATGAGCCCTTGATAAAATTAAAAATAGGTCCCCATAAACAAGAGTTCACCTTTTTTGTAGACACTGGGGCTGAAAAAATCGACTATTAAACAAATACCTGAGGGATGTAAAATGTCACCGGAAAAAGTACAAGTAATTGGGGCAAAAGGAGAACCATTTAAAGTAAACAATCAACCATACTAACAATCGCTCTAGGCATTTCTGGCTTCTCATAGAAATTACAGGCAACTTCAGGGGAGATCAGGCAGGTGAATTTACCCTGCTGGGAGAAAATTCTATGTCTTCATATCCTGAATGCTCAAGGGAAAATCCAGGCTTGACCATAGACAGACAATCTGTGAATTCAAAGTGTGGGAAGCCGCTTGCTCCCCAGCACTGGTTCAGCTGGCAGAAGAAGCCATCCTCTGAGAGTTTCCTGGATGGTAAAATTTAATGTTCTTTTGCAGAAATCAGTGTGAAGACAGGAGATGGGAGATGGGACTCAGCAATCTGTTAGAACCGTGGGTCTGGCCCTTCTCGAGTCCCTGCTTAAGGAAGGACATGTGAGGACACACTATTTTCTTAATTCCTTTGGGCTGTGCCTCCTACATTTCCCTCTGTGCTTTGGGGTTGAGACTGGCTCTCTGCCCACAAGGTGGGTGAGGTGCAACCCATCTCAGACAACCCATCTGATATAACAGACCTAGAGACTCCATTAAAGGAAGGAGACCTAACTCTCTTGAATAGCTACTTCCAGAAACACAAAACCTATCAGAATACATGTCAGGATCAGCCAAGCCACTCAATTCTATCTAATCTGCTTCTTCCTAATTGTAATCTCTTCTCAGAAATGTGAGTTCAAATGAGTAAGACGTTTAAGGCCAAGTGAGAAGAGGTATACTTGTGCCTCCAGTTTGCTGTGGTGCCACTTTTTACCTTGTGAAGCCCTGTGGATGAAATTCATGTCTTGCAGAAGATCAGTGAAAAGCCATTTGTTCTTAGCATTTAAGTCCTCAAAACAAGACTTCACTGTCACACTGATTATTCTGTCTGTATGTGCAGAGGCTGTCTTTGCTCTATTAGAAAAATCCAGTGCACTGTATATCAACATTGAAAGGTCCAAGAAAAAGTCCCCCCTTGTATTTGGAATGACCTCTTTTTAAAAAAATTTATTTATTAAAACACCTAGAAATAAAGAAATGAAGCAATAAGACTAATGAGAATACTTCAGTTAGGGAGAGGAAAAATAGATATATATTTGTCTACATCTGTATCTGTATCTATATCTCTCTTTCTGACACACTTTTACACATACACCACACACATCACTGTATTGTTTGTTTCTACTAACTCCTCTAAGATTTTTTTTAATGAAACTGAATTGTTCCTTCAAATATTTTTGAGACTGTCTTATCTCTAACAAATTAATTCCTGAGGAAGCTAGTGGCAGCTATTATCTTCCTCAGGGCTCCCCTGCCTAGTGTTTATTTTTGGAGAAGGGTGTTCTCACATTCAGGAGAGGGGTCTGGCACTCCTGGATCATAGTTCTCACGCTGCCCAGAAATGAGGATGACATTTTGGGCTAATTGCTTTGCTCCAATGTCCCCATCTCCAAAAAGGGAATTGTCATACTTCTACTTCTTGTGGTGTGGACGCATCCCTGAACATTAGCACTTCAATTATTGCCTCCAAATCAAAGTAGAAATAGCAACGGGATCAATTCTATCAGGAATCAAGTGGCAACCTCACAGAGACTGCAAACAGCCCTTCAGAGAGCACACAGCACTCCAAGTACAGTATAATCAGCACTTCAGGTGTAATGGCTTGGGAAGAAAAGTGTTGCTTAATTAGGTGAGCATAAGTGGTGAGGTTCAGCAGTGAATGGCAGTGAAAGTCTTTTGGATTATGAGTTCTTTGAGAGCAGTCAGAACTATTTATTTAAATTGATCTTGTGTGGTTGAATTTCAATGTTATTGTCACTGAAGCAGCATTGAATTATAGAGTGTCACAGGTCGACTGAACATGAGAGCAGAGTTACCAGGTGATCTGAAGGACAAGAAACACTACTGCAGTAGAGTAATGAAAATTAAGCTAGTCACATCAAGAAGGTTGCTCAGAACTGAAATTAACTTTGTGAGGATCAGTCTGAAAGGCATACTAACAACTAACCAAATATTAATCTTATTTACATGACTCACTCAATTATGGCACCTTGAGTTGCCAGTAAAGGATCAGGTATTAACACACAATGAAGGCATAGGGGGGGATGAAATAACCTCTTCCTAAACCTTATACAAGAGCTAAACAAGACTGAGGCACAAAGAGATTAATTCAGAAACCCAGTTCCCCATTGCTGGGGAGGCACCTAGCATCATTCAGCTTCTGAGCTTTGGATCACAAAGTTCCCTGAAATTCCCCCATTGCCACAGGAGCTTTAAGATCCTGGGGGCAGGCACTTGACTCCAGGACAAACTCATTGAACTTTGGAGACACCCGTGCTCTGCCTGAGTACCCTGAAGGGATTGATTTCTCAGTGTGTCTGGATCATGCTTAATGCACCCCAAGAGCCTTGAGGCCCTTACAGAGGATGTTAGGTGTGGTGGAGCAGGTGGCTGCTCACCTCACTGGGTGCACAAAGATGGACAAAAAAAGTGAGTGTAGAAG